AAAACCGTTCTACTAGAAGACAATGAGAACGGCTCCTATTAGCAACAGTAAGGAGCCGTTCTTATATAATATTTAATTATTTTAATAAAATATTATTTCCTAACACCGTTCTCATATGTCTATATTTTTCATTGTCCCTCCCAAACGTTAGTAAAATTTTCAGTTCCCTCCCAAATTTTCAGTTCCCTTCTAACGTATGAGCTTCCCAAATTTTCAGTTCCCAGCTTCATCGTACGATTCTCTCAAACCCTAACATTCATCCCAAATTGATTCTTCATCGTACGAGCTTCTCCCAAATCCTACCATTTTGTTCTTCATCCCATATTGATTCTTCATCGTAGGATTCTCTCAAACCCTAACATTCATCCCAAACTTGTGTGTGTAAATGTTCTCCTTCAACTTTCTCTATTCTCTGCCGACATATCTAACGGTTTTGTTTTCATAGGTCTCAATTTTCAAATGTAACAGTGTGCGAGTTTTTAGCAGTGTGTGAGTTTTCGGTTCATCCGGGTAAAAAGGTAGTAATTTGATTCTAATTCGTTTTACCTAATTCCTAAATTATGTTATTATTATTATTTTGAATCTGTAGAAAATTGGAATCGATGAAGTTGTCTATACTGTTGATCTCAAGAACGGAGAGGTTATCAAAGGTTAGTTTCATTTTTCATTTTCAATTCATTTGTTTGAAATTGTGGATTTTGATGTTTATATTTGCTTTCAATTTTACTCATTCAATCCAGTTTTATGATAAATTATCTGAAGTGGATTTCTTATATATTTACAATCAAATATACGATAAACTTGGTTTTAAACTGTAATTACAATTGAAAATTGATGGGTTCTGGGTATATGTGAACATTGTCATTGCAATTACAGCCACACCAACTGCAATTACAATTATTATAATTGCGGCCATAATGTCAAAGTTTTGGGTATCTGCAATTGCAATTTGAATATAATGTCAAGATTTTAGGTTTTCTGCAATTGCAATTTTGATTGAAATTATTGATAATTGCAACCATAATGTCAAGGTTTTAGAGTATATGCAACTGCAATTGTGGATAATTGCAACCATAATGTCAAAATTTTAGGGTATCTGCAACTGTGTTGTCAGTATATCATGGTTTTAAATTGCGGTAGCGGATGCGGTTGTGGGTGTTGCGGTCAATGTGGTTGCTGCAATGCGTATTGCGGCATGAATTTTGATTGAGAGGAGTTCTAAATACAACATTGAAAAACACTTAATTATGTTTTTAATTACATATGATGTAATTTGAGTTCTGGGGTTCTAAATTTATAAGTTTTGATGAAAATACTTGAAGAAAATTGATAAGTTTTGGAATTGTCTCGTTGAGTTCATAACGCGTCCGGACGGGTGGTTTTATAATCACATCAGCAATATTGCAGCCGTAATTGCGGTTGTGGACCGCAATTTAAAATCATTTATATTTACAGCAACGTTGTTTGCTTGTGACATGAAGGATATGACGTAACCATAATCACAATCTCAACTGCAATTTAGAAAGATAGAACGAACGGGTTTGATTAGGTTATTATAGATAGATACTTGAGCCTGCAGACAATCAGCACAGTTGACTCCTCCGATCTTGATCATACTGTCGTGCAGTGGTCAACTGTGTGTAATCACTGATTTTTGACTGTACTCAACACAGACCCGAAAGATATACCAGTCATTTGAAGTTTTCTCCTATATTATCTCAATATCTATTGTCTGGTCACTGCTATATCTTTTATGATTAAATACTTCCAATCTGTTTTTAGATTGTAGCTTATTGTCTAGGTAGCTAGAGACTAATCAGAAACTGTTACAATTTTGCTTTGAATTATTGATTTTAACAATTATAGTTAACTTGGCTGATTTTAATTATTGATTCTCTTACAATGCCATCAAGTATGATTATCTGGGTCTGTATCTGTTGTGCTGGTGTATGTTTACAGAGGTACAATGAAGATTAAGGGAAGTTTAAGTGCCGCTCAGAAATTTACTCCTGATATCTTCCCAAAGCCTTCTAAGCTGTGAGCACTGACCAGATATGTAGCCTAATAAAGCAATCAATAAAGTATATAACCTCAACCTGAGGAGTATATCTATAGTTTAATACATCAATTATCATTCCTAAAGTTGTTCAAGAGAAAATAGTTATGGATGATGAAGGATATAGATAGTGTTATGGAAATCTTCCAAATGACTTTTATAATACTGTAATCTAATGTTTCAAGTTTCAAAATAGTTCACCATGCATTATGTTGACCTATCTTTTCCATTGTGTTTGCCACTAAATGGAGCCTATTCTTAAAGTTTATATTGTAAGCCTGTTAAACTATAGTGTACAAGGTTTTATGGTTAGCAGGACCGTTAGTATTTGTAAGCCTGTTAAACTATAGTCTACAAGTTATAGCTATCATGTTTGTTGGACATGTTGGTAAATTACCTCTGGCTGGTGCTTCCGTGGCCACTTCTTTCGCCACTGTTACTGGTTTCAATGTTATGGTCAGTTTCAATTCTTTCTCTACTTTTGCCAATTGATCATTTCTTTGCAGCTGATAGTCTAGGGGTATTTTGGGTATTATTTTTTAATGATGTTTATCTCTGCTGTCATAACTTTACTACAGGCACAAAATATTGTGTTTCCAATGATGTTTATCTCTGCTGTCATAACTTTACTACATGCTCTTTTGTGTTGGATTTTGGTTTTCAAATCTGGACTTGGAGGCAGTGGTGCTGCTCTAGCAAATTCTATATCTTATTGGTTGAATGTTACTATGCTTTCACTTTATGTCAAGTTTTCTCCTTCATGTAAAAATACTTGGACTGGATTTTCCAAAGAAGCACTTCACAATATTCCAATGTTTCTTAGGATCGCAACTCCTTCAACTATTATGGTTTGGTATATACTACATAATGTTTACTTATGGTTCTTTATTTGATACTCTTTTCAATCTTGTTAATCATATTTGGCAGTTGCCATTATTGATATTGACGACTTGGTTTTGTTAGCTTAAACACAGTATCAGCTACTTGGATGATTCCTCTTGGACTCAGTGGAGCTGTAAGGTTAGTATTTCTTATGCACTTCAAGAGTAATTTTTCTTCGCTTTGTGTGTAATTTTTCAAGAGTCCTGGCACTGAGCGAGTGTGTAGTTTTTCAAGAGTCCATAGTCATAGCCATATAACTCCACATTAGATACAACAAGAAACTGAGACTGAGTTTTGTTGCATGACAGAGAGAATTCTGATTCACATCCATAAGCCCAATCTTGAGGATTCTTCATTTTGTATCCCGGAAGACAAGATCATTTCACTCTATCACTATAATAAGAACACAAACTATTTACACCACAAACTCCATGAATTCTACAAGGTCTTAATTTGGCTTGCCATGAAACATACCACTTTTCTTCGCTTTGTTTTCGACTATAAGCGCGAAGGTTTCCGTCATGATCAAGTCTTAGTCTTCTCTGCATCAGTTCGTCTCCATAATCAGATGTCTGTGAAATAGAAATCATCTGATGAACTGAAGTTACCAAGAGTTTTCAAAACAACAACTTTACTGTCATTGTAACCAGCTCTATTAGCATCCTAATCAGTAAGCCAAGGATCGGGCCAATAAATGCTTGATACTTCAGGACCGTCATAAAGAAGCCGAAGAATGTTTTCGAAGTCGAAATACATTGTATAAAAACCAAATGACTTATTTGTTTGACTTCTTGAGCAAACTATCCTTGAATGTTTGTTGAACACTTGTTGTGGCAAAAGCGTATCCTCAGCGTAAGCTTTTTTTTAATGTTTTATTGAACTCATTTTTTTGCTGAAAATGATTTCTTGTTTTGTTCTTATTCTGTTTGTTTGTTATGTAGAATTCGAAGTTGACATAGAGGGAAAGCGCTTCAGGTGGATGGTAATCTGACTCAACCCATGCCAATGTTATGTTCCAAATTTTTGAAAGGTTTTGTCATGTAGGCTGTTCAAAAAAAGCGAAACTTCCATATATCGACGAAAGAAGGCTTTTGGCTGAAACCAGAGAACTCGTAAAGGGACTATCTATATGAATGATTTTCTTTTTCGGAAACATTTGATTCTAGTGTTTTGTGAATATCCTCTAAATCTTTAACTGTGATTTTTTAGGAAAATGAAGCAATGAGAAATTCTGTTGATGTTGATAGGTTGTTTGTTAGTAGCACTACCAAGTTGGCAAAAAAAGTTTGCTCTCTAAGTTCAAACAAGTCAGATACTAGCATAAGTGATGGCATTGGAGGCATCATAAGTCTTTGTCACATGCGTGTTGAGGACAGACAACAAGAAAATTTTGACTTGTATGCTAACTAAAATCATCATTTCATCTTGAAATTTTCATATATCATTATTAACTTTAGACGTTTTTGTAACATTTTAATATTGCTTTATGCTGCAGCTGTGTCAAATTCGAGCTACCTGTGAATGATGCAAGTCATTATCAACATTTGCTATTTGGTGTAAACCTTTATGATGCAGGTTACATCTTTAGCACCACCGGTTCTTTATCACACAGATTGGGTGGACTTTATTGCCTCTATTGTCTTTACGAGACTCAACCATTCAAACCTCCTTTTAAGGTCTACATATCCCTTGGTGTGCCAATTTTTACTTAAATCATAATCACATTTAGCTGTGACTGTAGTTTCTTATACAATTGTGCTTGTTGGAAGGAATATATTATTTAATACTGTAGTTTCTTATACAATTGTGCTTGTTGGAAGGAATATATTATTTAATTTGCTCGTAACATGAAGGAGAAGATAATTAGTTAACGTGAAATTAATAATAATTAATTTAATATGAATGAAAACTTCAAATGCGTGTGGTTTTATGAGAAGGAGATGATTTTGTGTTTTAATACTCGAATTTGTGTGTTTCTACAGGAGAGTTAAATAATCTTAGAACCCTTGTTGTTGATGCAAAGGCAAATGATATTAATGTGGTGCCTGCTTTAGTCAAAACAATGCTGGAAAGAAACACATTTCTTTTTGGTGCTGTCGACTTAGTGGAAAGTTCTGCCACAGAAACAGTAAATCAACTCCAAAATTTACAGAAGGCTCGTATTCAAGTTGCATACAAAAAGTAAATCACCATATTGAACTTATGTTCAATATCCTTCTTTTCTTGTGTGTTATCCTAGCAGTGTTTTAACCTAACAGTTTATTTGTTTGAATGTGTTCCTTGTTTATGACAGGTTGTTTGATAGCACGCAAATTGAAACGTATGTGCGCATGGACCTTGTAAGTTTCCCTTGTGTTTTTTACTTACACAATGATTTAATCGGTAATATTTTTAATACAAGGTATTATTATCCAGTCAGATTAACATTAGAAGACGACAATAACTTATTTTCACTTTTATTGTTGGTTGCTCTGGCTTGCTAGCAGTAGGCTTTTTTCTCGTGATTTTTTTGGTTGCCAAGCGCTTCAGGTGGTTGCTCTGGCTTGCTAGCAGTAGGCTTTTTTCTGAATCTTTGTGTTCCCCTTCACAAGTTTGCTCTGAAGGGAAACTGGCTAGCAGCCAAGCTAATCATAGAGAAAGAAAATAAGCTGAAAAATGCTGCCATAGCAATAGGGTGTTATACATTACTGCACATTGCAGTAGGAGCAAACCAAAATGAATTTGTGAAGCAGTTATTGAAAATGTTGGATGATACTAATGACTTAAAATTGCAAGATGTCAACGGCAACACTGCGCGTGATGTGAATTACGAGACTGCTTTGCATATCTTGGCTTAAAATGAAATGTCTTTGGATTCTTGTTGTTGTGGTCCAAAACATGATGATAATCCCATCATGATCAATCCTGGTACATAAGTACACTCTCTTTTGATTTATCAAAAATTCTTTTACATTTGTTTTAAGAATTTTATGTAAAGTAGTAAAGTTTCTTATTGCAGATATGAAAAAACGTGTGGTTTTTCAATTGGTTTTGTAGATAAGAAATGAACCTTTCCAACTATTATTTGAGGCTACAGCAGTTGGAAATTTTGGATTCCTATGTTTTACGTTCTTCTACACATGCTCCAACTAATGATCAAGTAATAAGATTTGTTACATTCTTATGTTTTAAGAGATTTTATATATGTGGATTATTTACTTGGAGTGGATTATTTTATTTTTGATCCTTCGAATAATAATCTTATTTAAGTTATATTATTTTTATTTTGCAGGTCATGAATGATAATATCAATGAAGATTTTGAATTTGAAGATGAAGAAATGTAGATGTAGATTTATAGATTAAAGATGTTATTTTGACTATGAATGAATATGATTGACATTGAGATCGATATGTAATTTGAAGATGTTTTATTGACATTACGATATGTAATTTGAAGATGTTTTGTTGTTGGATCATTTTCAATTTGAAGATGTTTTGTATTTAAATATTATTATATAAAAAAATTGTGAATGATGTTATTATCAGGTTTATAAAATAAAATAAAAATTTATTTTATTAAAAAATAAATAAATTTATTTGGTTTATAAAATAAAATAAAATTTTTTGCAACAGTTACAAAGTGTGTCTGTAGTAAAGAAGGCGTTGCTATAACCTATGAAGAAAAATTAAACTTAAGCTTCTATTAGAACGGTTTAGAATAGGCTACGGTTAAGAACCGTTGCTATATTCCATAAAATAGCAGTTCTCTAATAAACAACAATTGCAACGGTTTACATTTGAAAACGGCTGGAAGCCGTTGCTATTCTAGGCCGTTCTCTATATAAAATTACAACAACGGCTCTGAACAAGGCGTTGCCGTTGGTTAAATAACCGTTCCTAAAGGCTAAAACAACGCCTTGGTTTAGAACGCCCTGAAAACCGTTCTCATATGTAAAGGCAACGGTTTTTTTGGATTTTGCAACGGTTTTTTTGTGTTGCTGTATATTCAAAATGTTGTAGTGTAGGGATTTGCAGAATTCGTCGCATAATCGTTGAAGCTCTGGTATGCCATTGAAGGAGATAAAGAAGTCGATGAAGAATCAAGAAAAATCAAAGAGTTAAATTGCAGAGAAAGAATCTGCAATGGAAAGAAAGAAGCAAGAAAGAAAGAGGATTTTTTAAGGAAAAAGAAATGTGAACAGATGAAGAAGAAGGAGAAATAGTAACAATGGCTACTAGAGTTAGATGAACTCTGATACCATATTGATCACAGATCATTTGCTGATACAAAAAGAAGATAAAATGCAATAAATGTTAAATGGATGAATTCTGCATTGAATTAAAGAGAGAAACAAGGTGCTATGTAACTAATTACATTACATACCATAACTAACTGCACACTGTCTAATGGGCTAAATAATGTAAATGGGCCTAGCCCTGTTATAATGAATACAATATCAACATAAACTAGTTAATAGTTTCTATGACAAATAAACTCTTTCTTAGTATATGAGTAATTTAGGTGTAAATAAACCGATATTTTTCCAATTATTGACAACATTAAATGTTGTTGGTAATGCAAAAATACCTTCAGTTTTAAGGTAGAACTCTAGCCAAACGAGATATAATTATCCTTAATTTAATTACAACCAATAAACACAGAAATCAATTTCATAGGAAAAACAGACAAGTAGGTCAATAACTGTGTATGAGTTGCTTGTACGCTTCCTTGTTCTTCAAGTAATGATCAATTTCAGCCTGCCATAATAACTCACATTTTAGTTAAGCATCAAAATTAGTAGTTTGGCTCAGAGAGTCACTTCAAGGTGAAAAGTTTTTCATATCTTAATTATTATACCTTTCGAATTGCTTTTATCGCAGTCAGCAACTTAACACCAATAAATTCCTCAAGGAAGTCGGCCTTATCGAGAGCTTCCAAAGATTCCGAAAGTGATTTTGGTAATCTCTGAAGGTTGTCAGGATTTGGATCTGTATCTGTTTCATTCATGATATAACAATGCAATTTGATGATCAAAAAGTGATGAAAATGGTAACAAATTAGGAAAAAAATCTTATAGTTTATATTATCTTACCAACAGGTTCGGGAAGCGAGAGATGCTTACGAAGCCCGTCAATGCCAGCAGCAATTATAGCAGCTAAGCCTAAGTACGGGTTTGCGGAACCGTCAAATGATTTAATCTCAAAATTACTTGTTAAGCCGTTAGGAATTCCAGGTGGAGATGAAGCTCGTATTGGAGCCTCCTTATTTTCATTTCCCCAGAACAAGTATGCGCCACTCCATGTGTTGGGTTGCAACCGATCGTAACTGCAATCAAATTGAGTACTGATGTAAGAAAACACAGGAACATAATTTGTATTCCGACATCAAGTTCTCATCCGCCGGTTTTCTGATCTAAGAAAACTTATAAGCATACTTTAGAAGAACGAGTTGTTATAGATAACAGAAACCTGATAGGAAGTGGTGCTATAAACGGCAAAATCGAAGGAAGGTTATATAGAACTCCAGCCATAAATTCTTTTCCCAAAGTTGATATTCCATACTTTGATGATCCATCGGATGCCATAAATACATTTCGACCGTTCTGCCACAAGCTTAGATGCACATGGCTTCCGGAACCCAAATCATCTAACTTGTACCTTCAATATCACAAAGAAAACACTTTTATACACTTCCAAAAAGTATAAAGTATGTTGCTTCATGCTTTCAAAGAACATGGTGATCTCACAGACACCTCTGAAAAAAGGTGTGTCCATGTTGGTGTCGGTGTCTGAAACCGACGCCAACATTTTTTATTACGTTTACTTTATTTATTTTTTAAAATTATTACTCGTGTCGACGTGTCAGTGTCATGTTTTCGGTGTCTGTGCTTCATAGATAACGACTTACTTTGGAATAAAAGTTGCAAGCAAGCCATGTTTTCTAGCAATTGCCCTAACAGTTTCATGCGTGTAAACTAAGTTGTCTGCAGCTTTGGTACAAACAGTATGTTCTAAAACCAACTCAAATTGACCTTTTCCAGCTTCAGCATGCAACTGCAATATGGAAAATGGGCCACATGTGTTAGAAACTAGAGGGTACTATTTAAGCATTTTTCAAGAAAAGCTAACGAGGAAACAGAAGCAACTTATATATTTACCTGTTCTACTTGAATGCCGATAGAATGTAAACCAGAAGCAACTTCGTGAAGTATTGTGGAAGCAGCATCAAACGCTGACGAGGAGCAGTAAGGACTCGAGTCAACTGGTATCCATTCTTCTATTCCTTCCCTGGACGGTTTTCTTCGTTTTTATAATAAATAATTGGCAGGGTAAAAATATTACTAGTCAAATCACAAGATAATTTTGAATGACATACCTTGTTAGGCTCTTCAAGAGAAAAAACTCATTCTCAAATCCTGCATTCATTACCTAGAAGCAGAACATAAATTGTTATTTGAACATCACAGCTCCGGAACCTTTTAAAAATGCACTCAACACAGTTATTGACGTGATAGGAAAGAGGCCGAAAAAATCAATAAAAAACACAAAAACGAGTCACTGTACCATATAGAGCCACTTTTTTGTTATTATTTCTGATAAGTTAAACACACAAGAAATTCCTAAATAATAGAAGATGTGAAACATACCAAGTCAAATTCATCTTTCAAAATTTTGGAAGCTCTTCTTAAAGCTTCTCTTGGACAATATTCCCATGCTTGGCCAGGTTGAACATTGAGATCACCTAAAACTATTTCATCTTGCTTGTTCCTGTTATAATGAAACAGAAAAAGACCAAAAGGATTGAAACATATGAAAATGTAAAGAAAGGATTTATATATTTTGGAGCATGATGAACTTGTGTACCAAGGAATAATCCTTATAGTAGACAAATCAGGAGTTAATCTTGCTTCACCAACTGTCCCTAAACCAGACCCAGTTGCAGGTGCGTCAAGAAACGAAGTCATACCCATAAGCGCAAATGCTAAACCAACACCATTCTTTGTAACAACATCATAGAAACGTTTTCTAGGAATTGCCTGAAATATAATTTCACATAATCTCGTAACATAATAATATAAATATATAAAATCTATACGTATGAAGGGTACTTACACGACATCTATGTTGTCCTGAATTATCAACCCATAATATGCGAACAAATGAGACATCTATCTCTAACTCATTCACAACTTCAACTTCTTCCACAGTTTTTTTCAACTCAATCAAATCCATTATCTAACAAATGATTTAATAAATTTTTGCTTGTATTAAAATAAGGCATATCCTTATAAGTAGTATATGAGATACTTAATACTATACATTTTGGGAAGAGTTGGAGAATACGTACAAGAATCTCTCACGTCCATTTATGGCTATGAAATCGACATGCTTAGACTCATAGGAAGAGGACGTTGCCATTTTACCTTTTATTTCTTTTGCGTGTGTGAACGGTATTTTGTTAATTATTGAGCGGCTATTTCCTCTTATAAAAATATACATTACTTTAACATATTGCATACGAGTATATATATATATATATATATATAAAAGACTTAAAATGATCAATAATTAAAAAAAAACAATTGATTATATTAAATTGTTAAACTAATTTATATATTAAACTTTAATCATAGGTCGTTATATTTCTTTTTAACTTAATATGATTTTGAGTCATAACATGATGTAAGGTGGGCACTCCATCCACCGCTTACACACATGTTACCGTTGGTTAGTGGAGACCACCTCATCGCCTATAAGTAGAGAGGCGGGCAAGCCGACTTAATTGTTCATTTTAACTTGTTGAACATAAATTCACATATTAAATATTTGAGAGTTGCTCTTGATATATATATATATATATATATATATATATATATATATATATATATATATATATATATATATATATATATATATATATATATATATATATATATATATATATATATATATATATATATATATATATATATATATATATATATATATATATATATATATATATATATATATATATATATATATATATATATATATATATATATATATATATATATATATATATATATATATATATATATATATATATATATATATATATATATATATATATATATATATATATATATATATATATATATATATATATATATATATATATATATATATATATATATATATATATATATATATATATATATATATATATATATATATATATCTTTTTAATTTTAAGAATATTCGGAAATATTTTTCTTTAAATGTTAACTTGTATCGAGTTATTTTTTTTCTAAGGGAGGAGACTTGGCCCAAATAAGAAAGAAATTAGGCAGGGCTATTCTAGACCGATTTAGACTAACTAAACGCCTCAAATTGAGAGGACATTCAACTAACCAAGAAACCTCAGAAGAGGTAGAAAAGCTTTGTTTTGCAAGGGAGTCTGCATAAAGATTAACTTCTTGAAAAATATGTAGAAATTAGACCTCTTCAAAAAGAGGGAGAAGACGGAAAATGTATTTTAACAAATTTGAAACTTGATTAACACACTAAGAGATCATGTATATAGATTCCAACAGAGTCTTGTTATCAGATGGAATGAGCTTGATTTTGATGCATCACAAACTGAGACTAAAAGTTATTGGCAAAGTTACAGTCACGCAACTCATGAAGAATTATCCATATAAATCACACGAATCATTCCAAAGAGAGAGGCGGTTAAGGTAAGAATTGGTAATGATACCCTTATGCCACATTTTTCAAAAAAAGTTGCGAGTTCACTCAGGAACTTGTTGTCATTCCCTAATTTTACCCCTAAGATTCCACCTATCATAGTATTTGCATCTCATCAAAGATCACAAACATGGTATCCTCCTAGCCTCCACCTCTTTGGGGTTTGCCTTTGTAGGAGATCACCAAGCACTATTTGTGTTCTTTTGTCACCCTTTTGCTTGTTTGCATTCTAACTTCACTAACCTTATTCAAAATAAAAAAATATGTGTTGTTTCCTTTTTCTTATTGTACAATTTAGGGACTTATAATAAAAGGATCAAGCTTGGTTTCTAAATTAGGGTTTTAGATTCCCAAGGTCAAAGTTTGGTCAACAAGTGGTCCATAAGAGCTCTTAGTTTAAGGCATGACCTATAATCTTAGGTCATGTTCATGTCAAGCTTCATTCAACATCATGTGATCAAGAGAAGTTCAAGTTTGTTGCATGGTTTCAAAGTTGATTCGAGTATAGTTCACGTGTTCATTTCCACACCATCTCCATCCAATTCTCAAGCAATCATCAAAGATTATTCAAAGGAAAATCAAGCTTCCTTCATTTTTTATTCAAGCGTTCACCAATGGGCCTTTAAATGCAATAAATGGCAAGAAATTTCAAGTTGGCACATGTTTGGTTGGCCTAAAATCAAGTATGGCAGGTCACTTGGTCCAAACACCATAATTTCTTCATTTCTCAACATTTTTAGAATCTACTTTGAGCCAAATATCACATTTGAACTCCTCTACAACTTAGTTTCAAGGGTCAAACATCAATTCAACCTCTAAGTCCATCAACTTTGGGATTTGCTCAGCTTTCCATGTGTGTACAAAAGTAGGCCCAAGACCTGATTGACCTAATGCATGGTCTAGAATTTTCCATGCAACTAGTCGTTGTATCCTTTCTCATTTAAATTGTTTTTTTTTCATTTTATTTCTTATTTTTATTTTAATCAATTTTAATGCTTTTTTACTCCAATTTTTTTTCCTAATTTTGTAAAAATATTTTCTACCACATATATTTTTTTTTCATAATTTTTAAAAATTATTTTGCATTTAATTCATATTTTCTCATATTTTTAATATAATTTTCATTTTCAATTTTATTTTTGATCATTTTCAATTATTTTTTCATCCAACTTTTAAGATCATTTTATTTGCAATATTTTGAACTTCTCATAATTTTCTCCATCATTTATTTTACATTTTGATCCTTCTTTTAAATTTTCCATTTAATTTTAATTTTAAATTACTTTTTAATTCATTTCACTTTTTTTATTATTATTTTTATTCATATTCTTTATACTTGTGTTTTGGCACTTGATGATTGTTTGATTGATCATGTCTTCAACATCTCAAATATTTGATTGATGATCCCTTGGTTGATTGAACATTCTTTTGTTCAAACATGTTGATGGATGGTCATTTGATCATCTATGGCACTTTGCATCAGAGATAGATTATCCTCAAATGATTCTACTTTGAGGTTTTGATTTGTTGTTAGTTAATCCCTACATGATGGCTTTATCCCTCTTCTTCTCATCTTTTTCTCTTCTTTTTCTCCTTTTGCTTTTCTCACTATGTGACATGTTTTAGGAGACTAACTTTGTGTTAGTTCTCTGATATATTTGACACATAAATTGTTATTAGCCGACCTCAGATGGGTGTGACTTCTACATAAGTCCACTTACAATTGCTTAACATAACACTAAATTGTCCCGGCTCGATTAAATTCTTAGTAACACTAAAATTAACATATTAATTGCGCTAACATCTAACATTTATTTTATGCTCTTTACATTTATGTCATTTACTTTCATGCCTTTACTTTATGTCATTTTATATTCATTTTCATTTACATTTTAGTTGTTATTTTTTCTCTTTATTGCCTTTTTGTTTAAAAAGAACAAAAACACTTTAAAATGGAAAAAACCCTAAAAAACATTAATCTGCTCTTGTGGAATTTGTGTTACTATCCTTTACTTGAGAAGTATTGTGGATCTTGGACATTAGACCTTAGTGTTCCCCTTGGCTTGGAGTGGCATCTGAGATCTTGTGATTCATATGAGACATAGTGCTTCATCTGAGACTTTTTCATCCTCAATTCAATACTTGGATGCTATTTATGGCTTAGTGACCTTAGTTGTCCATTTGATTTTTCTTTAATATTCATTTGTGCTTGTGCTTGCTCATCTTTTGGCTCAATCCAAAGGGAAAGGAATGCTTCTTTTGACCAATGTCAAATGCTTGCCTCTTCTTGTGGTTAGTACACTTGCACACACAAAGGCTTTCTCTTTGGCTACCTTACAATGAGAGCATTTACTTTATGCTTTAAGATATATAGTCTCTTCATCTCCTTCCCATTTCTTAAATTTTAAAAACTTCTTCCTATTTAAAAAATTTCTTGTTTTCAAACTTCACACCCCTTTCTTAATAAGCCTTGACTTTGTCAAGTGATATAGAAAATCTTTTCTTAATAAATGTTAAACCACTTAAGTATATTCAAACTCTTTTTCAAACTTCTAAAAAAGACAAACCTCATCAAATTACCTTTTTGCAACTTTCTTTAAGAGCCTTTTTCAAAAGATTAGATATGAGTCTATTTTTGTAGTGATGCAAACTAATATACTTCTACATGATTCTGAGAAATGATTGACATTTTTCACTTGAATGCTGAGATGTGCTTGTGAGAAAGCCCAAGTAAAAGTTCTCCATATCAAGATGATGCAAATGCTCATTTCCTCATACTTGTGGATACTAAGTTGACATTTTCCACTTGAATACGACAACATATCTTTCCACTTAAAACCAATCAACAAAGAATCCAGCTTTTATAAACACAGATTAACAAGTGGTTCTCTTTGAGCATAATAGATGTGAGGGATTCTAATACCTTCTCCTTGCATAATCAACCCTTGTATCCAAATATCTCTTTTTTAGCTTTTAGCTTTTTGTGGATTTTGTTCGACCTTTTCCATTTTCCCTTTGGAAACAACAAATTTAGTGCCGAATCTTTCTTTTCAAGTTAAGTTAATCAATAGCTTAATCTCAATGATTTTTCCCACCGTGACAGTTGGCGACTCTGTTGGGGAATAATCCCTAAGAAGGTTAAGCCTAGGTTGTTTATCTGTGTTTATTATTGCTATTATATATTATTGCTTTTGTTTTGATGTCTTATTTTTTGGGTGCTTGGTGATCTCTATGTGGTGAGCTAAGTCCCCTACCCGGACATGAGTGCACTTAAGCTAGGATGGTGGTATAGTCATGTCAACCTTATAGGCGTTAAGCATTGTTAGGTTGGCATGAGAACTCCGCTCAATTAAAGTCCCTTTGGAGGTACTAAAGTCATACGATTAGTCATAATGACATTATTATTTTTGACCTGGGAGTTTGGGTTTCTGAGAGACCTTTAGAACACTTTTATCCCCTCTTGGCCGTTTAGGATGTAGTATGGTGACCTTTATGGTGTAGTC